ACACAAATAGCACACAAATATTTATAGCAGCTTTATTTATAATAGTCAAATACTGAAAGTAACTAGGATGTCCTTCAATAGGTGAAAGGATAGGCAAACTGGTAAATTCATACAATGGAATAGTCTTCATCCGAAAAAAAAAAAAAAAAAAATAAGCCATCAAGCCATATAAAGACATGGATGAATCTTAAATACATATTGCTAAGTGAAAGAAGCCAGTCTGAACAGGCAACATAAGTGTGATTACCTCCCCCATTTTTTTTTTGACATTCTGGAAAATGCTGAAAAAAATTCTGGAAAGCTAAAATTATAGGGATGGTAAACAGATGAGTGGCTGCCAGAGGTGTGAGAAGGGGAGAGCTTTGAGTAGGTGAAGAACGGGATTTTTCAGGGTGGTGAAACTATTCCGTATGATACTATAATTTTGGATACATGCCACTATGCATTTGTGAAAACCCATAGAACTTTACAGCACTAAGAGTAAACCTCTTAGTGCTAACTATGCAAATTTTAATCATTGTGGAGATTAAGGGGTCCTAGGATGGAATGTAGAACATAACAAGCGAATCTAACTGGATTATAAATGTATGAAACAACCTCCCTGAGAAGGGTGAGGGGAAAAGGTGCTGGCCTAAGTAACTTTGGAAATGAGGGAGCCTGAAAGACTAAAGACAAAAGGAGCTGTATATAAGCACTGTACTCTGATCAAGTTGTTTCCCAAGGACGGATGGGTAACAATTCTGGAGCCATTATGCATGAACACTGGAATTGAACAATTAAGGAAATGGGTGGCAGATGGTGGGACCCAGGTTTCTCTCACCTGTTGGAGTGGGAAGTTGTAGACAAGCAAGAGGAGGCTAGAATGATCCATATGGTAATGGATTGGAGGTGGAGACATTAGTAGGAAGTCATATTTAGCTTAATACAGATACAGATGGTTACATATAGAAATATTTTTAGGTATGTATATATACAAGAGTTAGGGTACACACACACACACACACACACACACACACACACACACACACACACACACACACACACACACACACACACACACACACCCACACATTTCCTTGCTCTGCATCTGAGAGGACCTAGAAACAGTGATACCTAAGTAGCACAAGCACACGTAGCTCCCAGATCTTGGTTTCTAATACCATTATCTAATTAAAGGAACCAGGGGGCACTTCCCTGCTGGTCCAGTGGGTAAGACTCTGTGCTCCCAATGCAGGGGGCCTGGGTTCGATCCCTGGTTGGATGCCTGGTCGGGGAACTAGATCCCACACGCATGCCACAGCTAAGAAGTCCGCATGCTGCAACGAAGATCCCGCATGCTGCAGCTAAGACGCAGCTGGCGCAGCCAAAATAAATAAGTAAATAAATAAATTAAAAAAATATTTTTTAAAAAAGGAACCAAGGCTCCTTGGAGAAATGGCTGGTTTCGGACTGGGGCAAGAAATGTACGGGATGAGGCGGTAGCATCTTGTAGTTCCAGAAAGTAAGGAGGTGCTCAAACAAACCAACCAAACAATGCTGGGGGCATGTCGAAGCCAGCTCTCAGTGGCCAAAGCTGGAACAATTTGAGTAAGGAAATAAATAACATAGTATTGGATCAAAACCCCAAAGTATAAAATAAATATCCGTGAGTCCATTCTGATATAAACAAATGATGGAATAAATAAATGGGGGAGACTAGACAAACCTCCTATGCAGAAGAATTCCAAATAATCTATGTAGATATTTTGCCCTCAAGAAGGTGGAGCATAACTGCCTCCTTCCTTCCATAGCGACTTCCTTCCAAAGTTTGAGGTGATAGTATTATTTATGCAACCAGTTCCCTATTGATGGGCATATTCTTTTGCTTTATAAACAGTGCTTCAGTGAACCCTTGTATGTATATCACTCTACATTTCTGTATTTTTGTAAGATAAATATTCCAGGGAGAATATAACTTTTAACAGCTTGAAAGATACATTCAAGTGGTTCTTCAAAATGGTCCTGTGAATTTATACCCCTGCAAACAGTGTATGAGTATCAGTTTCTCCACACTCTTGGCACACTGTATGACTCACAAAGGGGTAATGTATTCTCTTTAATATAAACCCCTTTTAATAATCAAGGGTCAGAGGACAGGTGTCCCAATAGAAAGGTGGATGAAGGACCTGAACACGTAATTCACAGGCAAATAATACAAATGGCCTATAACTATTTGCAACAAAAAACTGAAAAAACATGCAAAAAAATGTTAACTGAGGAGTCATGAAAGAAATGTAAAATAGAAACAGTGAGACATTAGTTTGTCCACTAAGTTAGTAAAGAAAAAAAGAGCTGTAATAACTGGTATTAGCCTGCTCCAATTTTTATGGATCAACAAATAAAACTTTTGGAAGCCAAGTTTTTAAATATATACTTTTGAAAAAAGATATACATACTTTTATTCACTCTACCTTACAGGAATTTATCCTCAGACCTTAATTAAAAATGTGTAAAGATATATGTATAAATATGTTCACCACAGCATTGTCTATCACAACAAAATAATTCGAAATAAGCTACCCAACAGTAGGAGGTTCCTTAATGATGAGACATCCCTAAGATGAAATGCTTGGCAGCTGCTAAAAAATATGTTGATATTCTTATATATTTATAAAAATTCTTGTGATAGTATGATTAATATATACCAATTTAATTGAAAAAGAGAAACATGTTCTATGACTAGGCAGACATATGTTCTGAGACATGACAAACATATGTTCCAAGAAGGACACATACCACAATGTTTATCAGGGGGGTCTGTATGTGAGAACGAACTTGCAAATGACTTCTGTCTCTTGTGCTTATCTCTGTCCCTTTGTTTTCTACATTAAGCTTCTCTTAAATTTTGTAGTTAAAAAACAATTAAAACAGTTTAAAACCATGCTGATTCTCCCTTTGTAATGTCTCTCTCCTCTGCCCCTTTCCTCCATCTCCTTCAACACTGCCCTCGCTCAGGCCTCCCGTCTCTCACTTAGACCATTGCCTCCGCTTCTTGATGGGTGTCCCTGCTCCTGCAGAAGGGTCTAGCCTGTCACTCCTGTGCTCAGAAGCCTCTGGAACTCTCCCTGCACAGCATAGTGTCCCCTTGTTTCTCCAGGCCCCCTTCCCTTCTAAGTTCAGCCTCCCTCCCGCCCCAACCCCACGGGGCACCTGCAACACCAGTCCTGTCCGCCCGCTCAGCTCTCCCTGGTCTCCTCACCTGTTGAGGGTCTACCCATCTTTCAAGGCCCACCTCCTCTAGGAAGCCTTCTTTTCTCATTATCTCCCCCATACTCCAGTTCACTTGGTTTGAACTTCTTTGATGGCCATAATCACCAGCTGCCTTTTAATACAGTGATTTCTGGACTGACAGGTCTGGACTCGCAGTGCCTGGAGCACACAGTAAGGGCTTCGTGAAAGTCTGCTGAAGTGAACGGATCCAGAGTTGCCTCTGAACACCACCCGAGTCAACTCTGCCATGTTCCGTAATTATGCTTTAAATAGGTGTGATTTTTTTGGGCACATAAGAATCTATTAAATTATACATATAAACTATCACACTTGAGATTTATGTGGCATAAAAGTGTGCATGTATTAACATATAAGGTTTATGGGCATATCACCTAGAAAAAATCTTGCTGTATGGAAAATCTTTCTTCCATAACTGGCTAGTAACATTTGAGTCTGAACTTAATTTTAGGCAATTCCTTGGAAAAAATGATTCTATGGAAACCCAGGCATGTCCTAGAGGCAACCACAGATAATTACACAGAGAAAACTTTTCTATAATATTCCTGCTTAATATAACAAGCCAAATTTTGATTCTTGGTGATTTAATTTTTTCTTGTTTTCACATTGAAAAGTGACAGTATTTCAGTAAAGGGAAGACATTTGGTTGCAGCAGTAAACATGCTTTGATAACTCTGGACTATCCTTAACTGTTTTAGTCTTTGTAAAATTTAGAGGTTTTAGATGCTTAGCCTTCCTTTTCATTCCATGTCTCCCCCATTCTCTGCCCATCTCTCCTCCTTTCTTTGCGGTGCTGTCATTGCACTCTTGGGCATCCGTGTTTCACATAGAGCTGTTGTTATAGTCATGAAACATAAACAGGAAAGCAAACCACTGCCCAGTGTTTCTTAGCATGAAGCTTCTCTTGTTTTCATTGAGGCATCGTGTGAGTCAACTAGACACTGATGGATGACTTTCTTGTTCCCACCAAAGGACTCAGGGGCTCGAGGATGGTCAAGTGTGAATGATATTCTGAACCAAAAGTACCAGTATATCCTTTTGGCATATGCTGTCTCCAGAAAAACATGCCCTTTTACCTGCATTGCTTTACAGAACTTTGAGAGATGTTTCTGCATCACTTAAGTTATTGGGCAAACCTCTCCTAGAAAATGAAATTTGTTATAATTGTGCAAATATAGGTGAGTCCTTCTTGCCTTGGGTCTGGCTGGGGATATGGATCTCATAGGTGGTACTGCCAGCACGCGTATCCCTTTGTCTGGCCATTTGTCCATCTGTCCATCCATCCATCCATCCATCCATCTCCCCATAACTGGGATCCTTCTGAGCAAAAATCCTGTCTGATACATCTCAAAATTTCCTGAAGCACCTTTAGGGAGACCCATATGTCGATGGAGGCCCAGTAAGTCCCCTGGCTAATGATGGGAGTACTTATTTCTCACAGCACCACTATGCGTGTTGGAGAGCTGGTGCTGACGGCATGGGACCCACTTGTAGGGTTGGGTGTCATAAAGGAACCCTCAACCTCCTGCAACCCTAGGGTTTGCTCTGTCAGTCTCCCAACCTCTTAGAAATCCCACAGAAGTAGTGGGCGGGGTAACTTGGTTGGTCCGGCATTTAACAACTTTTCTGGTGTGTGTGTGTGTGTGTGTGTGTGTGTGTGTGTGTGTGTGTGTGTGTGTGTGTGTGTGTGTGTGTGTGTGTGTGTGTATCTGTGTCTGTGTTTGACTCTACAGGTCAGTTTTTGGGTTGTACGAGAAATTCTAACAGCACAGACTTTAAAAATAAGGGCAGAAATCCTGAGCCATTTTGTGAAAATAGCCAAGGTAAGCTGTTTTATTACTACTTTTCCCCTTCCTTTCCTTTCTTTTTTGTCGCAAAAAGGTGTTTCCTTGGTACTTTGGGTGCCGATTTGCTCTGGATGAGCCGGGCAGGGTTCAGACACGGGGCTCTGGCCCAGCTTCCCCAGGCAGAGGCAGCTGTGGGACCAGCCTGGCTGCTTGCTGGGCCTCCCAGCCCCTGTGCACGCACAGGCAGGTGCCCTCCGCCCTGTGGTTTTGGCAGCCAACCATTCTTTATAGCTGGCCTTTCACAGACTCTCCACGAGGCCCCAGTGCCTACCTCTGGGATCCATTCATCCTCCTATTCAGATTTAGCCAGTGCCGGGGGGATGATGGCTTTTAGTCAGCATCGGAGGTTGTGACACCATCACATCCTGCACAGTTTATTCGCGGTCAGCAGAGCTCACCCCACCCCATCTTGCGCTTGAGGCCCGGGCCCTGCTGCCCCGACCCCACCCCCTGGGCCTGCCCTGGTAGGGTTGGTCCTTGCCGGTTATTGGGCACCAGGCTCACGTCTTTACCCCACTTGCCCCTCCTCTTTCCTCATCTCTGCCAGCCCAGGCTGTGATCCCACGGGCCTTCCTGGACCACTCTCATCTCTTACACAGTCCTGCCAGCCCCTCCCAGCCCACTGCTCCCCACCACGGGGCTCACCTGACTCAGCGGAGCACCGTCCTGTCTGTTTACTGCCCGCTTTGTGTGTGCGCGTTGTCTTCCCACCCAGGTCCTAGGCCAGCTCACCTTCACTGTGGCCCCTCTCTGGCCAGGCGCCACAGCTGCTGCTTTACAGAAATGATTGCATTTGAAGCTGACATTATTATTATCCCATTTCCGGAGGAGGAAGGGAAGGCTTAGAGAGGTGGGTGTCCACGCCCAGGCCCCATGGTCAGTCGGAGCATGTCTCTCTGCCTTCAGGAGAGCTGCTCTGCTGCCCCGCACAGCAAGGTTGTGTTCATCCAGCTCTAAGTATGTTAGGGGCATGGACACTTTTACGTCCTGTGCATTCTGAAGTGCCTGGAACTGTTGCTGGGCGTAATGATACTTGTTGCTCTCGGTGAGTTCGTTCTGGGCCATGAGAGAAAGTGGGATGAAGTTCCAGCCCACCTGGTGCTTTCAGTTTGGAAGTTTCCAGTCCCTACCCAAGGGATCCAAAACGATTCCTCCTTAAGCTCTGCCATCTTCCGATGGTGGATCATCACGCTGGCGCTGTGCCCTGGGTATGTTCTTGTTCGAGCCTCCTCCTTTCTCTGGGCCTTGGTTTCCCATCTATAAAATGGGAAAGGGGTGGATTAGATCATCTCCCAGAGAACCTTCACCTCTAAAAGAAATTCTGTGGCAGGCATAGCCATTCAGATACAAAGGATGAAATTCAGCTCACTCAGAATCTATTATTACACACAGCAAACGATTAGGGAATATTACGAGATGTATGAAATGCAGTATTAACTTGTGTGGTAAGGGAGAAATCTCCAGGTAGGAGCAGAGCCGTGAGGACTAGGCATAAGGGCTTTTCGTGGATTTGTTCATTTTACTAAGCCCTCCTGCTCTGTGCTGTACTAGGTCCTAGGGATATGATGGTAGATACCGCTTCATCCCGGCTCTCAGGGAACACACGGTCCAGGGTGAGAGAGGGGCAAGTGCGAGCAAATACAGTCCAGTGGGCTAAGGAAATGCACAGGCTGCCGTGGGAACATGCAGGTGGGGTGGGGTTGGGGACAAGTCTTCCTGACAAAGAACAAGCAGCCCACGCCACACTGCCCGCTCTCCTGGGTGCCAGGCACTGGCCTAGCAGTTTACGTGCACCATCCCACGCAGCAGAGGTGCTGTGATTACCTTCCTCATTTTAAATATGAAGATGTCGAGGCTCAGAAGGCTTAGGTAACTTGCCACAGGACACACCAGTAGTGGGAACCAGGGTTAGAACCAGGCCTCTTGGTCCCGTGGAGCCTGCCGGCTACACAACTTTCACCGACTCCTGGGAGGGAGAAGTGGGACCTGGGTCCTGTTGGCAGGTTTCCCTCAGCATAAAACCAAGAGCAGAGCAATTACATTTTTCTGCGCTCACCCTCACCTGTGTCTCCTTCTGTTGCCCTCCGTGGTAAGGAACTTGTCTGAGATGGAATTAAATCCAAATGTTCTCACTAATTTGGGGTCTGGTTCAGAGAAGCATGGTCAAGTGGCTGGGAAGCTGGAGCTCCGTGCTCCCAGCTGAGGAGATCGTGCAGATTGATAACATCTTTCCCCAGCCTCCCGCTTCCGGGTGTGAAGGTAATCGCAGCAGACCCACGTTGATGTTGTTGGCACAGCGGAGGTTTCAGTTTACAAAGGCCTGCTGGGACAGTTCAGATTCATCTAAAAAAAGAACAGAAAGGACATTATCAAACCTTATCCCGAGCCATGTTTCTGTCCAGCAGCCAGACTAGTCAGCTTACCAAATTTTGCAAATGTTTTAGATGCAGACTCACCTTTTGACAATCTGAAAAGAAAAAGAGCATATGGTTTCTGTGAACTTCCTAGAACTGTATTTTCTACATGAGATATTTTTAAGTGTAATTGAATCTCATAAATATGACAGTGTTTGGTAACACTTGAGCATGTTTTTGTTCTGTTGTTTATAGCAGCAAAATAATCTATTCCATATCTTTTTTTTTTCAGAAACTTCTAGAACTGAACAACCTTCATTCTCTCATGTCTGTGGTGTCAGCATTACAAAGTGCACCCATCTTCAGGCTGACAAAAACCTGGGCTGTAAGTCAATCTTCCTAAGTCTCTTCCTTTGGTTTGGGCCGTCCTTTCTTCGGTGAAGTTCTCCGTTCCTTAAGCCCCAGAAGCGTTTCTCAGTCTGCCCTTTGCCAATGACGGAGGCTGACTGTGGGTTAATGAAGTGTCCCCTGGCCACTCTCTCTCCTTCAGTGACCTCAGAGCCCCGTTTCGGGACAGGGAAGCTGTGAGGAAGCCAGCGTGGCTGGGGACCCTTCTGGACCTGACAACATCATGTATGATGGCGGGGTCAGTGGCATGACGTCTGCCCTCCGCTTCAAACTGCCCCTGGGAAGCCTTGCAGTTGCGCTGGGCTGCTGGCTGTGCAGCTAAGAGTTTCTTTGGAGGAACCTGTGACCCTCATGTAGGGAAAAATATTTTTTTTTTCCTGAAGGCCATGGATGATTTCAGCTCAGAGGTGGAGTCTGATAGTTATATAATTGAGTCTGTAGGAAAGTTTTTCTGCTGTAAAAATACTTTAAAAATATCTCAGACCTCTTTATCCTCCTTAGCTTGGCACCGCGCCTGACGGGGGAAGTCATTGCTATTTCCATCGCTCATTAGCATTCACCTCCTGGCCCGCCTGGTCTGGGGTCTCTCACAGCCACACAGCCCAAGCCTTTCAAGACCTGTTTATGTCCCACAGAACTGAAGGAAACTGTATGGAGTTGTCAGCTGTGCTTCTGCAACTAACTCACTTCCGAACTTCTTTCTGCCAGTCTGCGGGGCTGGGCTCTGTTTCAGACTTGGCTAGTTCAGGGGCCTTTAAAATACTTAGGGATTATGTTGTAGGTTGTCAGAAGTGAGCCTTGTTTCTTCAAATTGCAATTTTCCATAGATCAAGCCGTAGCAAAGTGGAGTTGAGAGGTTTTAGCCTGGAGTCAAAAGACTGGGTCTGCATTCAGGCACCGTCTGTGCAGAGTGATTCTGTGGGACTCGTCTCCTCTTATCTACTTAGGGAGGTTGGCCTGGATCTGTGGTTCTCCGTTAGTGCTTTGTGGAGCCCAGGGGTTCTTTGGAACTGACTTGGGGCCAGCAGGGGCTGGGGGAGAGGACGGAGGGCACCAAGCAGACCTCCAGAGCACGGTTTCTGCCAGAGCAGCTCTGTTTGCATCAGTTTTATGTCCTGAGCTTCTGGGTGAACTTCAGTTGAGCAGTGGCTTTGGAGGTCAAAGCAAGTTTGGAAGCCACTGGTCTCTGTGGTTGCTGCCAGCCCTGTGATTCCCTGAGTCCATCTGAGCCATGACGCTTTTTTCAAAAGTTGCTTTTGGAGATTCTTTTTCAAATGAATTTTCCATCATTTAGGTGCTGCTATTGTTTCTCGGACTGCTGGGAGCTCTGTGTGGGCCCAGAAGAAGGAATGATGAATCTCACGGTACACAGACCTTACTGTCAGTAACACAGGGACTCTCGGTGACCCCATAAGTGGCACAGTCAGTGAGGGCAGCAGGGAGTCAGCATGAGGGGCCTGCACAGAGATGCCACCCACTCAGGGATGGGCAGGGCCCATCCATGGAGCTTTGGCCAGCGTTCTCCTCAGGATGCTGTGCCTTGCCCAGGATGGTGGGGCAGCATTGGGCCAGAACAACATCCAGGACTGCTCCATGTGGCTCGGCAGAGTCCTGTGCCAGGGTGGCCGGATCATCACTGCCATTGATGGGTCTTTGCTGCAATGAAGATAAATCTCCCACAGCTCCTCAGAGAGCCTGGAATGAAATATCCACCCAGGACCCGTTTGAAAGCATGAGCTTCCTCACCTAACTCCCTTCCAGGCCATGTGGGTCAGCTGTTCTTCCTTACAGATTTGCCAGGTGCTGCTCTAAAAGCTTTCCCTATATTAACTCATTTCCTCTTTTAAAAAAAAAAAAAATTTTATTTATTTATTTATTTATTTATTTACTTATTTATTTGGTTGTGCCAGGTCTTAGTCTTGGGGGCGGGCTTCTTAGTTGTAGCTCGCCAGCTCCTTAGTTGTGGCACGTGAACTCTTAGTTGCAGCATGCCTGTGGGATCTAGTTCCCTGAGCAGGGATCACATCTGAGCCCCCTGCATTGGGAGCGCAAAGTCTGAACCACTGCGCCACGCGGGAAGTCCCCTCATTTCCTCTTGACAGGTACCCACCGTCAAGAGGAGGCACAGAGAGGTGGGATGACTTATGCAGGGTTCCTCAGCTAAGAGGCAGAGCGGGAATCAAACCGGAGCAGTCTGGCTCCGGAGTCCCTGCGCTTACCCACTGCACCCCACGGAGCTCAACAAGGACAGTTCCAGTGATGCCTTGTCAGTCAAAACAAGAGAGCAGGCCTGTTTATTGTTTTGTCTCCTCTATACACAGTGCTCCAACAGGAACTTTAAAGGTGACATCAGCAGGCTCTGGGTGCTGCCCCAGGCCGTTGAGCCTCTGTTCTGGCTGTGGCTGCTGCTGGCCTGGCTGCTGGCCTCTGAAGTGCACCCTTCTTTTGCCATTAATTTCTGGTAATGAGCTTAGCCACAGAAATGTTGCCAGAAAAGAACTGTTTTCCCTCTCCCTGCTTGTCCCTTGATCTGGGGAAGGGAAGTCAGAGGAGGGCCCCAGGGAGGCGACACACAGCCAGAGAGCCAGAGAGCTGCGGCCAGGCCTTGAAGGCTGCCTTTTGGCCACTTACTCCTTGGTTAGTCCATGGCTTCCGCTGCTCCGCTGGTCCCCTGGGATTGGCCGCTGACTTTGGCATCTAGCTGTTGGGAGCCAGGGAGAGGACAGGAAGCTGCGGTTACACGTCACCAAAGGACGGGGGACCCAGGGCAACAACAACTGTTCTTTTTCTGAGAAATCTCCCATTGCCTCCTAAGGGCTGAGAGCCAGGACTATTTCCTTGGTTACAGAGGGCCACTTAGAAAGGCAAAAGGTGGGGAGATGCAGCATCCTGGGAGATAAGAATGGCAACTGCCTAAGGCTGTGTCAGGGAGAGAGGAGGTGATACACACGGGTGGATTCAGCATGACGTCTCCGAGGTCGTGTGTGGGGAGCTGTTTGTTCTGGGTAAACCCACCATTCAGCCTGTTTCAGACCAGACTCTCCCCTCTCGCCCACCTGTCCTGTTAGTCCAAGGACAGTGGTTGGTGCAGAGCACTTGGGAAATGGTGGGGGCCAAACTCGCCATCTTTCTCCTTCATCCAAATCCCCCCAGCCCAGTAGAATCGACGATGCCACTATATTCCTGACACTCTCTACGCCTATTGTGACAGAGCACACAGGGCATCTAGTCTGCAGTTTTGTTTGCAGGTCTGCCTCCCTCTTTGATCACCTTCCTTCTTGGTGCAGTCTGGTTTTTTCTCCACATCCCAAATGACTGAGCTTGCACTGGTCGTTTGAATTGTATATGTTTGCTGGGCCGAATTGTGTACTTCTTCTGCTACTTCTTGTCCCAGTCATGAGATGAGCCACTTAAACGCTGCCAAAAAATTGCTGCTTCCCCTCCCCCCACTTGTCCCTTGATCTGGGACTGGTGAAATCTCATGGCCCTGCAGAGCAGGGAGGAGCAGGCCCACCAGCCGTAGCAGCCCCAAAGGTCAGAACTTTAATAGTCTTCATTTTGCAGAGAAGGAAACTGAGGTTCCAGGAGTTGCAGTGACCTGTCTCAGACCATGGAGCTGATGAGTGCCAGCGCCGATGTGATGTAGCTTTGCCTTGATGGACACGTAGTCCATGTTCTTGGCCATTTGCTGGATGACTTGTCTATGATGGAACCTGATGTTGGAATCAGGCTGGGCACAGGGCAGGGAAAAGCAGGCACACACACTGCTTGGGAAGTGGGGCTGGAGAAGTGAGGCTGGCACACAGGCCCCTGGGGACAGTGTATGACCAGCTCCCTGAGTGTGGTCGCTGGGGTTGCATTGAAACCCTGGATATCTGGGAAACCTGGATGGAAGGGGGTCACAGGTGTGGGAAGAGACCTGCTACGTGGTTTCACTTATGGATGGCCTTCAGTGAGGGCCAGCTGGTCATTAGCTGGTAGGCAGGGCAGCCTGTCGGCCTGTCCATGGCTGGCTGCTGAGTACCAGCAGCTGGGTGAGCTGGGACAGGGCAGAGGCTGACCTCGCACATAGGCTCGCACATAGTAGGCCCATAATAAATGCTGGCTAGATGCACAAACAGGGAGGGAGTCACCTTCTGCTGGCCTGGAAAAACGCAGATAGGGTCTGATTTATCCCAACACTGGGCCCGCTTTGGAATATTGGCTGCCTCAAAGCCATGAGACCTAAGCAAGAAGTCCTATCGGCCAATTCTGATTTCCTGAGCACAGATACTGTGTGGCTCTTATTCATTCTGCAAATCAAATATTTATTGAACACCTCCTCGCCTGCTCCGTGCCAGACCCCGAGGCTATGGTCAAGGCCCTTGTCTTCATGGGCTTTTATGTTATCCAGGGGAGACAGACACGTTTTTGTGGGAGAATAAACATGTGCCTAGTCTGGCTGGTGCAAGAAGTGGTCAATAAATGTTTCTTGAATGCATGAAGTCATGAACCAAGGGCTGTCAGATAGGAATAAAAGTGATGCCGGAGACCAAAAGAGGAGGATGCGATAGGGACTGACTGGGTGTTCAGGGAAGGCCTGTCTGAGACCTGAGTGACAAGAGGGAGCCGGCCACGCCAAGATGAGGGCACAGCCAGTGCAGAGGCCACGGTGGAAGAAACTCCAAGGCCAGTGTGGCTGGAGCGCAGCAGGCCTGGGGGAGATTGTGAGGGTGTTGTGGACGGGTGGCGGGGCCGTCTGGGAAGGGCTCAGCCCAGAGAGGAGTTAGGTTCTGTTCTGAGGGCAGTGAAGGGTTTTAAACAGGAGACAGACATGATCTGCTTTAGAGTTGCTTTTGTTCTTTTAAATTAGTGTTGCTGCTATGTGAATAGCAGATTGGGATTGCAGGGGGGCCAGAGTGGAAATGAGGCCAGGTTAGAGGGTTAGGGCAGAATCCAGGAGTGAGGTGATGCTGGCTAGCATCGGGGAGGTGGCAG